TCCATGCAGCTAATTACAGTCATGGCTATGCTCTTGTGCTCTGTGTCTATGAGGAACAGATGGACAATGGGTTTGACAGTGTGACTCTGTGACACATTACTGCGCCAGCTAAAAGATCTGGTCCGGGGACCGTGTCCCAGACGTCAGACATGATGGGAAGTTAGTATCATTTCAAAAGCAGGAGGGTGTCTGAACGGATCATAAACCGGGTTTGGCCCGAAGACAGCAGCATACAATACAACTGCATAGTGATGACAGATGGTCTGTGAAAAATCTGGGATGTCTGCAGTACCAGGCTGTGAAGTGGCAACGGCCCAGGGTGTGTGGATGCTGTATATACAGTATATCCAAACTCCACTCTGGCTGAGGAAATGCTGATGTGTTGATACCAAAGTTGCCAAGACTGTGTGTTTCGAGAGATATTCAAAGTTCACCTCTTTCCTGAGTTTAGACCTGAAATCAAATAAGTCACAGAATTATGAAGCATGCTCACAACACGGCAACACATGTCCCAACTTACTGTATAAGTGCTTATGTCATAGAAGACACTCAAATAAAAACTTTTATGTGGGTTGTCCAATGCTGCAAGGGAGGCCACATTAAATAAGTTAACACAGATAGATACTGCCATCTAGTGGATTAAAATAGCTATTACAGATTTTAGGGGCTTTATCATGATGGTCACTGCAAAACCTTTTATTTTACATCCTGCATTATGTGTTTTCAGTCCAATATTGGCATGAGAACATTTGTAAATTTAAAACAAATTTGCATTTATATAAAGACTATGCTTTCATTAATGTCTCCTTATAGAGTGTAATATATATATATTAATTTATTTATTGTAGCTATATTTACAGGGGGACTCCCACAATTCAGTATTGCACTTCCATGAAGTTGGGAGGTTTGTGAAAAACAGATTTTTAAAAAGATGGTCAAAATAACAGCAACAGATGAGATGATCTGACTTTTAGTCTCTGGAATGGAAGAACATCCCATAAACTTTAGACAAAAAAATCCTACATTTCCCATAATGCTATTGCCTTTCGTAAAACCCTTCCTGCCTCATAAATGGTCAGATCTTGTGAACTCCATACCCAGTTCTTAACTTAGGTGACATCATCAGGAGTATTTTCTCAAATAAGGTAAAAGGTCAAAAGTTCTCAAAGTTGGGAACATTCGGTGTGAATAAACTGTGCACCAGTTGTCTATGAAAATGACATGTTTCCTCAAAACAGTGTGCAGAAGGCTCTGGAGTACATTTTCTCTTGTTTGGTGGGTGTGTCAGATGTGTTACCCAATCAGCAGTGAGGTATACACAGTATAAATAAATCCTAGTAGAGTTTTATTTATTGTAAACCAATATTTCTTACTACAAGGCATATGCTTTTCGCATGTCTTGCTGCTTTTTGTATGTATGTGTATATGTACATTTAGCTTCTTCTTTTGATGCTCAGACTTTAACTGTGTCATTTATGATGTATTGCTTTGTATTTTATTGCATGTAATCGATGTGTGCTCAGTCTGACTTTGCTTCCTCCTTGGCCAGGTCACAACTGAAAAAGACATTTTTATCTCAGTTGTTTTTATCTGGTTGAATAAAGGTTAAATTAAAAAGGAATGCAATTTTTGTGTTTAAATAAAAACTTTGCTACATTTTGTCGCGGCTGAACGCAGCTCTGTTCTGACAGGCTGTACAAAAATACTCATGACAATTACAATTACACTGAACTTCATGTGTAGAATTAGTGGAATGCATGTTCTGCATTTCTCTCTCTCTGTAGTTTTTACAGAGAGTAAAGTAGTTAAATCCTTGCAAGGATTATGTTTTAATTGTTCAAAATGTTTTCATTTCTCTTGTCTCTCTGACAAACACAATTGTTAGCCTACTAATAACATCAATGATGTCTCTGTTCGATGTAAGTATACTAAGCCATGTAAGGACACCAGCATGGTCGACACTATGGCCCTGACACTGGCACACTGAATGGAATGCAGCCATAATCAATGTTATTAGTTACACCTGTGTGTGAGTGAGACACATTAAAGTGCCTGCCATGAGAAACGTCTGTGCCATGTCCAAATATACTCACTCCTTCCCTTTCAGTGGTCGAGGAAGTGTTAGATCATTTACTGAAGTAAAGCAGTAATACCAATATGTAATAATACTCCATTATATGTCAGAGTCTTGTTTTTTAGTTGAGTAAAAGTTCAGTAGGAACTTATTTTCAGTAAATTATATTGAAAGCAGTAAGTGCTAGCAGTAAATGCACTTGTTATGCAGAGGAGGATCTCCTGTCAGTGTTACATTATTGCACGATTGAATTTAATCACTGTTGCATTAATGTGTAAGCGACATTTTAATGTTGCAGCTGGTGAAGTTGGAGCAACTTTGAAAGGTGAAGTCAGCGATTCTGGGGTAAGATTGTTGACAGTGCACTGTGAATCTTAACACATAAACATGTGCCAGATTTACCACCCTCTCTCTCCCACTGCCTTGCTCTTCATACATCCATGGCCTTTCCCCTGTCCTGTCCTGTGCACCAGCACAAACACCCCTGTTGCTGATTGACTGGAGTAGTGTTGTGCGGCTAACTCCATGTCATTTTGTTTGTTTCCCATTTACAGAGCTGGAGCTGTGTAAACCAGATTATTTTTTGGCATGCACACACACACACACACAACAAACAGCTAGCAGAGCGTGAGTAGATATTTGGGGAGTTGTCAAGAAGTGTATTGAACTAGAAATGGCTGACTGCACCTTTAACTATCTTTTTGGCTCGTTAATTATTTAGCAGTGACTCATATTTTAGAAACGTATCACACGTTTTATATGTATATGTAAAGTAACTAGGAGCTACAGCTGTCAAAGTTGAAGTACTAACAGTAAAGTGTAAACATCTGTTACGCCCCACCCTTGGGCGGCCCTGTGGGATGAACAAAACTCCACCACTGATCCAAAATAACCACATAAGACATCTTTAAAACACCATGAGATTTATTAACAAAAAAACAAGCAAACAAGACAACAAAAATCCCAGGCTGAGAGGCAGCAGGACCAGCAGTCGCCACACCAGAGGCCTCTGTCCTCTGCTGCTGGCACAGGAGCTCTTAAGCACCTTGTTAATAAATGCAGCCATCTCTATGGGCAAGATCTCCAACACTTGACACCTCACACCAAAACAATCTAGACTGATAAATAGCACTACAGGAAAAATATGTATTTTTGATTTTGGGGTGAACTGTCCCTTTAACACTCACTAGCTTAACCTTTGTAGTGAGTTTTAAATTGAGGTTTCAGATCTTTGTGAAGCATCAGTGTGATAAGCAGAGTCACTGAGTGCAACGTGGAGGCTTTTCTTCTCTGTAACAACTGCAGTCAGTCCACAGGCATGTCCTGTTCTCCTGCCTTAAAATTTTATTGTCCTCAGCACTGTAAGCTTGTTCAGGAATAAGATCAAATGTGGAATTATACATCAGGCCTTAGTTATTATAATTACTCATCTATTATCACTGACCCGGAGATCATTCGTTGTCTTATTCAATATAATAAATAATACAAATCCAAATCCTTACACAGGGCCATATCCACCTCTGAGTCACACACTAAGCACACCAATTTAAAGAAGGAAATTATTTGGTGTGCAGCCTAGAAAAACATTTTCATTGAATTTGTCCATTGAAAGAATAATATGTTTGTTCAAGTTCATGAAGCCCATGAATTCTTGGAGGTTTCACAGAGGCCGCAGGTCCCTTGCCAGTTTCAGCACAGTCTGCGTCTGCATTCCTCGGCAGCAGCACAACTGCTACATCTTAGTCTGAGATGCAGCTCCGTCCCATTCCGACTTCCACAGAAGCACATGTGAGCTGCCGAGGGCCAGATGTATGGAAATGACCTCTAGAAAATGTAACCGTGTGCTCACATGTTGGCATCACCGTGTACGCCCAAATGAAATAAATGGATGTAAAAATAGTGTTAAAGCAAATAAAAGTTATTTTATATGGTTGCACTTCTCGTAACTGTTCCTAAGTTGTGGAGATGGTGAAGTGTGCCAAGCACTGAACAAGTCTCTCTTTGTGGTTTCTGCATATGTTTTCTGTCCAGCAGTCGGGGTGCGTGCATTGTATAATTAGAAATAATCACTTAGGAGTGTAAACTTTCCACATTTGTCCTCCTGAAGAACACAAACCAAGCTGTTTGCCGGTGGTCATCCTGGCACTGTCACACACGCTCCAACCCGCCGAGGGACCACGCTGTTGGTAAAAACAGAACTAACGCTGACCTTATAGGTACACAAACACAGCTCCAAGGGGACAATAAATGTGCTCGCTCACCCCATCAGTTTTTCAGCCTACAAATACAAGCCAATATAAATCACCCTTTGTACTCGTACATTGTTTTTGTGTCTGACAGACACAAAATATAAGCTCCTTCCAAGGCTGAGCAGACTGTAAACGACAGTGACAGATAGCTCAACTGAGGCAGAAAATAATGACTGTGTATACTGGACGTGATTACATGGTTTGCTGGTTGCAATTGAACTATATAACCATCCAAATTTAAAAGGAGTATGACTGGAGGAAGTGATGAGTTGCATAAAAACAGCAGTTTTGACAGACGGATGGGGGCACATAAAATAAAATAGTCATGTGTGAAACACTTAGAAGATAAGGAGGAGTATTTATCAAAGACAATGACTAGAAGAAATATGAACCACAGAGAGAAATGCTGCAGCCAGAGGTGAAAATGATGAGAGACAAGGACAATGAGGTGCAACTGATAGATACATGTGAATGGTGAGAGCATGAGGATTTAAAGAAGAGAGTGTGTCTGTGAAGATGATGACAACCAGCTGAAAGCTTTAAAGGAGAGTCGGCCTGTGAGGGGCAGAGAAAGAAGGAGAGAGGGTGGGAGAGAGATCAGATGTGGATGGGAGGGGGAGAGAAAACACAGTCCTGTGGACAGACAGAGTGAGAGAACACAAGTGATGAAGAAGGTGTCCGATGTGATGTGAGGCTGCAGATGCAGGGTGAAGAGAGGGGAGGAAATGCAACGGGAGGGCACACGGGGCGCTGACAGGCAGGGACACAGTGGAGGGAGAAGTTGAGTCTCAGTTACACACAACTTGAGAGAGTGATCGGCTCATCATGCTGCCCTGGAGGATGGCCATCGTTGGGCTCTTCTACTGCTGCATCAGAACAGGAGTGGCACGGTGTCGGAGTAAAGGTGAGACTTGAACTGAAGCTAATGCAGAAACTGTTCTGTTGTTCTTTAAGCCTGTAGGATAAGAGATAAAAGCTCCATTGCAAGACTGTTCTCGTATCCACATGTTGCCCCACAGAGCAACAGGAATACTTGGTGACAGATTTTATGTTTTTGATCATAAGAATTTGATGGTAGATTAATCCCACTAATGGGATAACTGAGTCTGGGCTACAGTAGAATTTATGACAACATAACTTCCATTCTGTGTTAATAGATCTCAATTTTTGAAACCCTCACTTTTTATAGAGCGGTGATTAAATAGTCTTGGCCGTGCACTGAGTGTTTCTTGGTTTAGCTGTACTGTATTATTACACCAAGAAAGAGTGATCTTTTTATTTTCTTTCAAAACTCTAGAGGTTTTCACTGAAAACACATTAACCAAATATTATACAGGCATAATTTTGTAGCAGGAATTACCTCATTATGTGTATTGGATGTGGGAACATATTTATCTCAGATGTTTTAATGTTATTCAGCAGAGCTGAAGCAAAGCTGTTGTTTTAAGGAGCGCAATCCAATTTTTCAATATATTACTAAGACTATCATATTTGAACTTATGAGAGTAAAATAATTACTGTCTCATAACTAGGTTAAATATTGTGTATTTCAAGTTACAGCCGATTGCACTTTTACTTTCACCCCAACAAGGTTTGGACGTCATCTGCACCTGTTTCTAATAGTAAAACAATGGGAGGGTCCAAAAGTGAACTGAGAGAGGAAACTCATATTCCTCAAATAAATTAAAAGCATACTGCTGAGATATTCAGACCAGATCTGGTCAGGGAAGTCCCTTTGTCTTATGAGGTGGGATCTTTTGTGAGCTGATAAGTGCTCTTGGTTATATAGCTCATTTAAAAACACTTATGAACAAAGGTTAAGATGCACTGGAGGATACAGTGCAACAATTGTGTTGGTTGAACTTTCTGGTTTTGGCTGTGGACCGCTCTCCAGTGACAGGAAGTTAAAAGCAGCAGTAAGGAGCACTTGCTGGAATCCCCAGTAGTACATATTTGGCCTCTGAGTTCAGCTGGTAAACATATGACTTCTGTGAGCAGCTTACTGATGTGTAAGTTTTGGGCATGTCCAAGTTTTCCAAACCTAACTGCCAGCTGGAGCTGCCAAACGTGACGTTACCAGGCATCATGTGATCTAAGCAAAGAGAGCTCCTGATCGTCATTATGTTTTACTTTTTGCAATTAACTTTTACATCCGCGGAATATGGGCCATCATTATCAGTGTGTGACTACAGCCTGGCTCATCCATTTTCTCCCAAATAGAACCACACTGCAGTGCATTTCAGTGAACACAATTCATTGGTTAGATGTTTTTGGTTAGATATATACCAAGTGTTTCAATAGTATGTTTTTACTGAGATTTGGAGGACTCACCAAAAAGAACCAGCAGTATTAATAAATGCAGGCCCTTTGTTGGCCTTATTGAACTCAGATTAATGGAGATCATTATCTAAACATTATGACTGACTTGTGTGGATTATTTGATCCTGCAGAGGTCCATTAAAATGTCATCATCTTTTTGCACTTGTTGAGCCCGACATAAACAAGTGGATGGTGAAGAGCAGAATCGTTGGGTAATTGACCCTGGCTTAGATATTTAATGGATTTGCTAAGTGAGTTTCCAAACTGCTCTCACTCTCTTTATCTCACAAATGATAAACACTGTATGGGCCGGTCATAACCTCAAAAGTGTTCAGATATGATGGTTTTAAAGGCACTGAAAATCAAAGTCCAGTTCAGTCACAGTCTCTCTACCGCTGGTCTGAATTCCTGTATGGCAGGATGGCTTTCTGTCTGCATTAATGTCTGTATGAGCTCTTCTTTTCTGCATTTTTCCTCCATCTGTTCTCCTTTTTATCTTCCCAACATTGTAACCTGGAGACAATTCTCTATACCATATGAAATGTAACTGCCTGAACTCCAGACTGTGTATGCATTAATAAAACCAGCCAGCAAAGAATGTTGGCGATACTGAGCAGTAAGTGAAAACAGTGGTCTAAATCTTTCTGGTCTGAATTTCTGTCTGTCCGTCCCCTCTTTCTTTATCTTTATGGATGACAGAGTTAGTCTGTCAGTTGGTGGTCTGTACTGAAATATCTCAACAAATATTGGATGGATTACCATGAAATCTTGTACAGACGTTCATGTTTCCCAGAGGATCAAATCCTTGGATTCTTGGTACCAAAGTTAGTAAAGGCAGACATTCATGGACACCAGACAATAATCCTAATGTCTTTGATCCAATTCTAATGGCATTTTAAGTCCATAGTAACCATCCCAGCATACTTGCTTGGTGGGGATTTTAAGAGTGGAGTGGAGCAAAATAAAACAAACTATGATATTGGACTTACTGATAAGACAGCCTCAATATCAGCATTTGTCTTGTCGACAGTGGTCCTCTCTACTCCAAACTGGTAATGTACAGCAAAACAATGCTTTACAACACCTTGATAATGGTTTCACTCTCACCCATGGCGCTGACTGGCTAATTGTCAGTCCTTCTGCAGCGCTCACTGGATCACTTTTGTTTCAGCTGAGAAACTGTCACAGTGTCACAGTGCCAGACTAACCAGTCAACTCAATGGAGTGGGTTGCCTCAAGATACATTATAATCTGATCCCCTCAGTTTTCTTACAGTGGCATTGTCAGGTCAAAATCTCAATTTGTCCAGTACTTTGGGGTCTGAGCAAATTGTAAGTGAAATTCTTTAGTGATAGGTTTCTTTTATTGTTAAATGGCATGTCTTGTTATCATACAGAGAGACATATGTCTTATTGTAATGTTGAAGAGGTTTGTAAACATGTAAGGTAACTTAATTCCTGTATATTTGACCTCTATGAATCTTCATATTGGCCCTAGTGGTAGAGGGTCATGGGAGGATGTGAATGAAGCAATATTACATCAATTGGCCAAAGGGGGGGTACTATAGCCATCGATTGAAATTGCAAACTTTGAATGGGCATAATGCCCCGTATGTCGTAGAGACATGAAACTTTGCACAGAGATGCCTCTCCTCATGAGGAACAAATTTGCCTCAAGAACCCATAACTTCCGGTTTATAGATTTTCTGCTATTCTGAATTTTTTGAAAAACACTTAAAATCGATCTCTTCCTAGGAAGTTTGACCGATCTGCATGAAACTCGGTGAACATAATCTAGGGACCAATATCTAAAGTTCCCTCTTGGCAAAAGTTGGAAAACTTACTAAAACTGAATTTCTGTAAGGCAATGAATATTGCAGAGGGCGTGGCTCATCACAAAAAGGTGTATAACATCTCAAGGGTTTCACCGATCACCACGCAACTTTGTAGGCATATGACCACACATAATCTGAGGGGACCCCTCCATTATTGACCCAGTCAAACAAAATGGGGCCAACAACATGGCTAACCACCATATCGATTTTTACTAAACTTGGTAGATATGTAGAACAGGACGCCTCAATGTGACTGGAGAAATTTAACTCTAACTGGCAACTAGGTGGCGCTATGACAACAGAAACATGCTTAAAAATGGCTAAAATGTGACCAGTTGCAGTGGCTCCCCCTGTGGCCGAATGTTGTTGTTCATTTCTAATTTTTGGTATGACTAAGTCATGGTATGGTATGTTGTACTCAATGGGTATGGACTGGTAGTAGGGATTTGGTACATGCCAATTGTACCTTCCAAACAGCTGCATGTTAGTATTGACATTTTGAGAATGATGTTAGCATTTAGCTCAAAGCACTGCTGCACAGTGTCACAGAGCTGCTAGCATCTTGTCAATGAATTTTTCGGCATATTTTGTTGAGGGGAAATGAGGTTATGAGCACTGTTACTTTAGTGACTGCAGAGTGTTCAAGGAACGTCTGTATAAATGCACAATGGTCATAGTTTCCATGTTCCAATAATGAACAAATAGGGGAGAGGTTTTTGCCTGTGAGCTGTCTTTGACCGCACAAGATTTGTTGTGGTTAACGCCCTGCTCTCCTCTTGTGGTGGAAAAGCCTGAAATGAAATGCAAAGTCCTGAACACTGCATTCCAAAATCATCTGGAGCCTGTTGTATGATCCGTGTTTTACTCCACCTTTGATACCTCTGCTCCCTTTGAAGTCCGAGGTCACGTTTCATCGCCTGCTGATAGAAGTCATCTGTAAGGTCAGGAGTTTAAAATGCATATCAGACACTGACTGCAGCATGATCTGGTGAGAGCACGATGAACCTGGGTCTCACATGTGCCCGAACAGTTCAGAGTTTGTTTAAACTGCTTGTCACAGCATTTTACAACTTAACACGTTCAAGAAGCCTTTTGGGTCCGCAGCAGTAAATCACAAGACAAAAACATGTGATGAAAAGAAAAGGATTGCTGAGGAAACAGTCCTTGCTTTTTCTACCACGCCTCAGTCTCACTGTCTGTCTCTCTTTATCCACCAGCTCTATTCCCAGCTGCAAGCAGAGTAAGAAGAGGAGTGGCGAGTGCAGTCAACCCCACCTTCCACAGCTCCTTTGATGATGTCAATCTGTTATTTGAGGTAAGACAAATGTATCCATAAATCAGTGTCTGAAGTTAAAAAGCAGCACATAAATCTTGCTAATGAACACTGATCTGTTCTTCTTTGTTTCATCTACTAGATCCTGCTGGCTGGCATCCACTTTGATGATAGTGGAGCGTTTTCAGTGCAAGATGCTGAGCTGGATTCCCTCCTCAAGACAAGAAACCTGAAAGTCATCTGCGAGGAGATCGTTCCCAGGAAGCTAACAGATGTATTCAGGCTCATCTCGGGCCTTTCGAAACACACTGGTCACCTGCATCAGGACGATTTTGAACGCACCCTGCTGACTATGGTGTACACCGTGCAGGGGATGGTCAACTCCACTACTGAACAACAACAAGACATGTGGACCGAGTCTTTTGTTAGTTTGTACAAAGCCATCAAGCAGGATTTGACAGGGACAAACTGAGCAGATACTGGTGCTGCTACACACAGTGGCTCCATGTTGGAGTTTAATATGCACATAAGAAAAATATCCATTGAGATCAGAGGGTAGTCCTGGTTTGTGCGTTGAGGAAACGTTGCATCCTTAATCCTGACAGGCTGTAAGGAGCCTGAGAGAAAAGTCCTGTCAATAACTGTTGCCACAGGTAAAGTGCATGGACTGATTATGACACACATATTTACTGTCACAGCAAAATTAATTCAAACATGAGGTACTGTGTACACATTAAACTATACGTTGGATTTAAATGCGGCAAAAAACATCATAGATCTGCTTACATTCACGTCTTTTCAGTGTTGGTTCACGAGCACCTGGTTGTGACGCAAGAATGAAAAAACCAAAGAAATCTAATAAAACATCAAGCAAGCCAAAGAAATATATTTATGCTCAAGTGGTATGTTCTCTGAATCACTGTACGGAACAATGTCTTTAAGATTTTACATATACATATATATATATAAATATATATGTCAGCTTTTTATTATTAATAATTTAATAGAAATCTATTAAAACTAACTTTAGGTAACAAACCTTATGCAAGATGCCATTTGCAAAAGTCATGTTATACACTTTGCACCATGGTGTTACAGTACAGTCTTTAAGAAACGGACAGGAAGTCCAAACTGAGCTGCCTCTGATGATTTTTTGAGAATCCCCAAAGTGAGTACACAGCTCACAGAGCGACTCCAATGATAACCTGTGAAGGCTCTGGATGTCCAAGTGACTGCTTAGGCTCCAGGCTGGGCTCACCGGGAGGGCAGAAAGGTATGTACCGCAGCCAGGAGGAAGAAGACAAGTAAGAGCTGATGCCAAAGGGAAGGTTGTAGACTTTTCCGCTCTCAAGCGTGTTGCTGGAGTCATCCTCGTGAGCCTTGTTCCACGCCAGGATGCCTCGTTCATGCTTTGACCCTGTTGGACACGTGTAAAATGTGTTAAAGCGTACTATTACGGTCTACTGGAGGAATGAGATCGCTGACTCTGCCTTTATGTTGTTTTTCTGACTTAGCTTGCTTGTTTGTTTTTTATAAAGCTGGGCAATGCTGTATAATGAGTCAGCTCCTCTCCTGCTACACTTATGGTACAGTACTCACTTCTCAAACATAGAGTAACTTCAGAACTGTTATGGGGCTAAAGTGGAATCACAGTGTGATGTTCTTTAGTTGAATTGTTAGCCTGTTCTCATGGAAATACTAGTCTGGTAAGACCATCATGATGACATGAGCTAAACATGCTGTGTAAACATGCTATCAATCTAGCCCTGCTGCCACCCCAAACACTTTCCAGAAATGTAAGAATTTAAATCCAATCAGGCCAATCAGACATCCACACTATAGCTGACAATGTAAACAGCCAGTCAGGGACTGTGTTGTAGTTGATGACATAAAATGCAGGCTACAGCTTGCAGAACAGCAATGCTGTCTCCAAAAGCAACAAGTGCTAACTCTTATGTTAGAAGAGTAAACAGCAATAAGTGAATTTATCGCAATCAATTATAGAATTAAACAATAACAAGAGCATGCACAGGCTGAGTTTCTCAGAGGGAAAGACGTTTTCGATGTTCTGCCAACTGGAATTGGCAAAAGTTTGATTTATCAACAGGCTCTGTTGGTGATGAAGATGCTCCCCGCTGTTTTTTGATGCTAATTGGCTGAAAGAGTTTGTCTGTCAAGGCACGTAGTCCCGCCTGCTGAGTGTTTGGGGTGGCATCTAGTCCAGATTGATATAGAGAATGAAACAGAATGTCAAGCTCACATTATCAGGATGGTCTTACGAGGCTATAGAAATACATAAAATGAACATGGACTCTTAACAATGCATTATGTGGTGGTGGGCATGAAATGTGTTGAAATAATGTGCTGGCAATACACACACACACACACATAAAAAAAACAATGCCAGTGCAAAGTCAATGAAGATATCGTTGTGGTGGACATACAAATTACGTAAGAGCAAGAAAGTCTGTGTCAGGCAGGCTGAAAGGGTGGTGGATGGGTCATACAGGTCAGACAGCTGTTCTTGTCCCGTGTGAAACCAAAAGTCACTGTAGATATGTGACTTTACAAACTCTACCTAACCATGCAAAGTACATCATTTATGTCACTTACATCCTATATGTAACTATTTTAACTGAAACCATCTGCTTTTCTTCAACTTAACCACTTATTTTTTGTTCTTTTAACCAGTGTTTTTTCCCCAAAACCTGACCAACGTGCACACCAAACTGTTAACCACATTAACAATGTGTTTGAAACTGCAACTGTTTGTATTAGATTTTGCACTGACATTGTTTTTGTGTTGCCAGCATGTAATTTTAACACATTTTGTGCCCACCACCAGGTTAAGTGTTGCTAAGCGGTTGTGTCCATTTCACGTATTTCTGTGAGACTGTGTTGGAATTCAACTCTACAGTACTTAGCAATAAAGGACGTTGTTACAGTATAAATGATATTGATGTCATCAGGCATAGACCTACAAAAGTTCCGCAGAAGACTGTTACTGTCAGGCCACAAGTATATAAAACAGTTAAGCAAAAAACTTTTTTTTCCTGCAGTTTAATGTTTGTGTTGAACTATTAAGTGACTCTTATCCCTTGGCCATTATTAATGCCCAATGTGTCTCTCTTATGACTCTATTTTTTTAATCTAATACAAGACAAATGATTAACCATGCCCTAATGTCCCTTACACTGTTGTGTTATTCACCTGACACTCAGCAGAATCGTGATGGACGATATGCATCAGCTTTGGATTTAATTAGGTGTAACGTTTTAGTATTTTGCCCTAAAATGACTCTTCACTTGACATTTCTGTTGAATCTCTGGTCAAATTCCCATGATTACTTATTGCATATTGTTGTAACATGATGTTAATATGGTTGGTTAATATAAATGACAATTTATATATAATAATGCTAAGGAAATAAATACTGGAATTATGAAAGAAAATACCTGGAATTGTGTTGTCCAGTATGAAGCCAAAGAAACCTCCTACAAACATACTGGTTGTCAGAAGTACCTGCAGCACCTGATCGAGTTCAACCACACCTGAACACAATACAATGAAAACAGCTGATACTTGGTTATAATAATAATAAGAAAAGTGGGATGCAGTTTTATGAAAAGCACAGATTATATAATGAAGTGTTATTCTTGCACCTGTAGCAATAGCGTTGGGGTTCTTAAATATCCAGTTAGGAATGACCAGACCAGAGAACATGGAGAAGCCAAAGATGAAGATGTTTCGAGAAGAATTCATATCTGCGTACTGAAAATGTGAGAAACAAAAAAACATAAGAAAATAATAGATGTATTTAAATGGAATATTTGGGTCAGTTTAAAAAACTGATTTGCCACAATGCACAAGATTTTAAAGTTTATACCTGCAGATTAGAAACTCCTGCTGCAGAGATGACACCAAACATAACCAGGAACATCCCGCCTACCACGGGTGATGGGATAGTGGTGAATATGGCGCCCACTTTACCAAACACACCCATGACAACCATCAAGACTCCGCTGGCTACTATCACCATCCGACTGCCAACCTGCAAAGCAGAAAATAAAGAAGCAGAAGTTTTAAAGGTCATACTTACCTACAGTTGTGTCCATTTAAATAAATAACTTCTACATATACTCCGGTTCATCTTACCTTTGTAATACCAAGGGCTCCAACATTCTCGCTGTATGAGGTTGTTCCATTTCCTGTCCCCCAGGCTCCGGCCAACAGACAGCCCAGTCCCTCAATGCCAATACCCCTGTTGATAGCATGTTTAGGAGGAGGTGGAGCCCCGGACAGCCTGGCACAAGCATGGTAGTCCCCTACAGACTCTATCATGGAGGAAATCACACCTGCCAAGATGCCAACTACCCCTGCCAGGCTCACAGTCGGCATCCCCCACTGACCTAAGTTTGGATTCAAACATAAGGAAACAGAGTGTTTCATAGTAGCCTGTAATAACCTAAAAGTCACTTCAGGTGATAGTTTGGCATCGTCTTACCTGGGTACGGAAAACTGAGCCAGGGTGCTTGGCCTATAACATCTCCCTTTAGGTCAGTGCGAGCCAGGTAGCCATATTGGTCAGGGTCAGCAGGAAGTACGTTGTAGATTGTCAAAATGTAGCAGATGAGCCAAGACAACGTGATTCCAAGCAGAACCTGAGGACACATGGAAAGAAAATAAAGTCTAAAGACTAAATGCATTATTCATTTCATGTTCAGTCAACTTGTTTGATACATACAGGGAGAATCTGAAAGACGTAGACACGGGAGGTGTGCAGCTTTTTCTCCTTGCTGTACGTAGGAAAGGGCACAGGTATGTGACGGAGGTACTGTGAGAACAGGATGATCAGAGACGTGGTCCTGTGTGAGACAAGGACGAAAACATTAGGTCACAATATAAGGTTCACAGGGTTACATATAAGTACAACTGCACTACTTTGCAGGCAAATCTAGTTTAACACAAGGCAAAGTAGAGCAACTTAGCAGGTTCTTTGGCCAGGAACTTTTAAAAGGCTTTCCTGGCCTGCCAAGAGATTAAGACTTTACAGAGATTTCAAGTCTATTATTAATTTCAAAAACTTGGCTGTACTCTAGGCAGGGCAGGAAAGGATTTTAAATAACCTATAGGGAATATGAAGGAACGTCACACCATGTGGGAAGGGGGCACTCAGTCCAAAAACAAAATAGTGTTCAATGTTTGGGTATGTGAATGGAGGTGGTGCATCAGGGTCTGTAATCCAGCCTTGGCCTGCCAAGTCATATGGATTTATGTTGTTTATCATGAATGTTTCGTCCAAAACCATTGCTTGATCGTCACAGCAGGCACAGATAACTAAGTACGATCTTCATAAGATGGTGCCCTCATCCAAAAAAAATTAACATGGCATAACGTTAACTTCAGGTTGCAACTTCGCATTCTCTATAGGACAAGTTTGTACAACAGAAACACATTAAACTTACATGAACTCCTTTTTACACAGATCTC